GGAGGACGGTTTGCGAGCATGTACATCTTTCCATATAAAATACAAGTTTCTTTATATATCAAATAAAATCCTCTTATTTTTTCATAACGATGAAATATGCTTTTTTTCTCCTCTACTCAAATAAATGTATGTATATAGAAGCATCTTTTGTATGCTCATAGCGCATATTTGACACTATACAATTTATGTATTGTGAAGTTTAATATGTAAGAATATCTTGCGACATTTTACATCGTACATGACACATAATGTGTGTTTAACACTTTTCATGATATATTCACTTCCTTCTCCATCCACTTCATATTTGCAACAATGAAATTATCATTGTCGTTTGTATTTGCTTTTCAGGAAATTTTATTTCTTGAACATACAACCAGAAATGAGTGAGAGATAATTTTCTTTCTTCTTTTCCTTCACAAAATGAGGAAGAAAAAAAAAAGAAATTTTCTGTTATTCTTTACAGCAAAGATACACAAAGTAGGGGCGCCTGATGCTTTCATCAAATATTTACTTATTCATCTTGTCAGTCTTTCTGTAAACTTTTCCTCTTACTCTTATATTCCACGGTCGTTGTTGTTCTTTCTATGATTTTTTGCTATCTTTACTCTCATTCTCCTTTTTTATATTCTCTCGTTTCGCTGCTGTCGGAAGTAAGTAGTAGAGATGATGATGATGATGTTTGAATACACAATAACGGAATGAGAAAGCAGAAAATTAAAATTATTTTTCTTTCCAACTGCCTGATTTCCTTTTAAATGATTTTCATCTTTTCCTGTTCTTAATTTGAGTAAGTACAAGGAAATTCTGTCTGTACTTTTTTTTTAACAATTATAAAATAAAATAAAGGAAATAAATTCCTTCTATTAAGTTTTCAACTCTTAACTGATTTCCAATTTTATTTTTTTGGGAAGTTATTTTTATGATCTACAGCATATATTCAGTATTTTTCAACATCAATCAAGATGACGATCATAATAATAGCAGAAACATTATTTATTTATAAGATGCTTGTAAAGCTTTTGTAAATGTTGAGTAATTCAATGTTTATTTGTGTGTTGAGTGGGTGCCGCTACTGTTAACACCACCAACGTCTCATTTTTGTTGCTTATATATATTTTTTTACAAAAAAAAAAAAAAATAAGGAAAAGTTCTTCTTAGTAACATTGTTGCTGTTGAGGGGTGAAAATTGTTAAACGCTGAGTGATTAATTAACAGCGAACAAAAGCGAGAATAAGCAAATCATGTTGAGAGAAAGGATGGAGAAATTGAGGAAAATGATAATAATGACGACGATGATGATGATGAGGTTTGGAAAATGTAGTCAACCAAATGGAATTAATTGAATTGAAATTCTTTCTTTTTATCTTGTAACATTATTGCTCTTAATGAATGAAAATTGATTGATTTCAAATCCCGTGCTAAACGATCAATGAAAATTGGTCTAATTATTTAATAAATAAATAAAAGTTGATGTAAACAAAATTTTCATATCATTCCATCAATCATATATGCTGTATACATATTTATATTTTTATTATTATTAGACTCGTGTTATAATCGAAACTCATTCCATCGTACCTATTCATTTAAATTCATTTAATCAAAACCCCACCGCCAGCAGACATCAACTTCCTCGTTCGTATCCAAACGCCGATTAAATTATCAAATAATGAACTGTTGCTCATGTTTCAATTTCAATAACATGATTATATTGTTACACTTTACATTCATTAAAGTTCTCTTACCACCGCCACACAATTTTCCCTCTTTCATACTTTTCCTCTCTGCTGCTCACATTTTGCTTTATCAATATTAACAACTGTTTTTTTTTTTCTATCCAACTTTCCCCACACTCTTTTTCATCAGCCCCTTTTATCGTATCTCATTCAGTAATAATAATTTCAACTCGTTCTTCATTCATGTGCGTTTTTTGCCTACCTCCCGATAACCCATCCTATAAATTTTTTGATATGGTACCACGCAAAGCACAACTCATTTTGTAGTGCGGTAAAATGAGTGCGGAATTTTCAAACAACATGAAGCACATAAATGTGTACACACAAAACTTTTTTTTTCATTGTTATCGTATTGTACTTTCGATTAAACTGTAATGTGCTTTGTGGTTTTTTACACTCATTCCAATGTATGCCCTCCTTAATGTACGCGATGAGCAGTGAGTTGAAATAATTTTTTTTCCTATCATATAATTTTCCCATTCAACCCTCCATCGCTTCCAACCGCAATCGTCGATTTTATAATAAATTAATGGATTTGAGAGTGAGAACGAGGATGATGGAAACCATTTGTCCATGTGCCCCATATATGTTCAGCTATAAAAGCTATCATTGAATGAATATACAATCATTTTGCTTGTCGTTGAGTGGCTACGAATTGAATATGGATGGAGAGGTTGGGAGAGGTAAAGAAATGGATATCGATTGCATGAAACATGCAATTTTATTTGCTCTTTTTTCTTTCCTTTATATTTTAATTTTATTTACTATTTTCGTATATTGCCAATGCCATAAAAAGAAAAAAATTGATGACAAAGTAAGAACAAAGAAAAAAGATTAATTAACAATGATAATTGAATAAGGACATAAGTAAGTGATGTTTACGGATATAAATTCAGTTTTACTTGTTGAATCGTGCCAACCAACTTATAACGTTGTAAATAATTAATAACTATGCATTTGGAGGCATTTGTCGTACAGAAGTGAAAAATTTCCTTAGTTGCTCTTTTGAATTTTTTTTAAAATGTTTCCATATTCAATGGTCGAGGTTTAATTTTTTCTACTAAACGAAAAACTTAATTTTTGGTCATGCAAAAGCTTTGTTTATAATTGAAATATATAACTTTATTTTAGAAACCATGAAAATTATTTTTTTTTTGTTTGGCAAGACTTAGAGACTGAAAAAGAACAAAGCAATTAAATAAAGTGGTAGAAAATTATCATGAAATAGTTTTCGAGTCATAATAAAATGCTTATCGTGATGTGTATCGTTGTGCTCATGACTTGTATGCATATATTAGGAATATTGAGCAGTTTTGAGTGCATAACAAATATAAATAATGAAATAGCAAAACAGCAATAAACAACAGTCGATGGATGTCGAAAAGATGAAGTTTTGTACAAGTTTGGGTAAATAAATTAATCAAAATACGAGGTGCTCTTATAATTGATTTTATATATGCAATTTCATGTTTTCAAAATTTATGAACACAAAACATTTTTCACATAATTTTCTCCAACTAATTCATACGCTTGTTCATTATACAACAATAACAGTAGGAGCTGCAAAAAAGATTTATTTAATTTGAAAATATTTTCCCGCGAGATGATTAAATAATTCTATGAAAATTAAGTATTTTAATGAAGCACAGACATTTTTTTCTCACCCTCCACGTTCCAACCCTATAATCAACAACATTATCATCATCGTCATAATAATAATCAGTGGAAAACTTTTTCCTCCTTCCTAACTCACTCTCGATACTATGTGCTATGAATTAAACGAATGAAACACTACAAAATAATATAACATAACAGAATAATAAATGAAACTGCTCTGTGAATGAAGGGTGGCACAAATTAGATTTAATAACATGATGCCACGATAAAACATGCCAGTTGACTTCACAGAAAATTAAAAAGCACTCGAAATGAGGGTGAATTATTGCCATGCTATTTGAGTATAAGGCATCAACAACAAAAACAATAGCACGTGATCGAAATTTGAACAAATACTTTATTTTTCCTCTTCATTCGACTTCTTTTGAATCCCTTCCTCAAATATGTTAAATCGAGATATGTATTCACACTCGTCCGCAACAAAATATTATTATTTCTTTCCACCCTCTCGTCCTCCTCGACCCTTGATTTTAAATAACATAACAATACAATACAATCTACAATTGTGATAAAAAGATGAGAAAATGTTCATGCATAGAAAATGAAATAAAATGATATAAAATAATGAGAGGGTGAGTTTTTGAGAGCATTGAGTCACACAACAATAATAATCAAATGATATTGAAATACATAAAAAACAGTGTGCGGGCATTGGTAAATACAATAATAAAATGAAACAACAATGATGCGATGAAGTGGGGAAGAGGGTGAAAGGATATGAAAATTTTTATGTGTATCAAGCAGCAGCGGCAAACAGCAAAAATGCTCACAAAAAAAAAATAATAATAAAATGGGAAAATGCCATTGAAAATGTTTATATGGTTTTCAATTGTACAGAAGGAGGGGATGAGAATGAGGTGGAATGACTGTCGAGTGGGAAGGAAAAATGAAAAAGATAGAATAATTGGTATGAGAGAAGCTATAAGTGGTATGTGGGATTGGGATTAAATTGTATTGTTGATAATGTCATTTTGTGTGTCGGTTCCCAGAAGAATTCTTCGATTTTGAAAATAATAAAAAGCAATAGAGTGAAAGAGACATGATTATACATACATATACACACTTGTGCATGCAATGCAATTGGGAATTGAATTTTAATTGGCTATAATTTTTCGGTACTAAAGCCGATTATCGTTTGCTTTATATCATTTATTATAAAAAGAGTAAATAAATAAATTTCATAGACATATAGTGGCAGTGGCTTAAATATCGCTGCCACTACCTTACCCTCTCTCAGTGGTATTGCATATATTTTATTCTGCAATTACCGTGTCAATCAAAAACGGAAGAGAAAAAGTTGTTGGAAAATTAAATGATTTCTATCATGGCAAAATGCAGAGTGTGGAAAACTGTAAATATTTTTTAGGGTTGAATGAAGAAGTTAAAAAAATCAAGCAGATGGTTATGTGCATGCATGTAAGACATAAAATGGGGGATGTGTATGTACATTTTGCATTCTACCGTTTTATGAACTATACGCTTAAGTGAATGTAAATATTTTACTATCCTCACGCTCGCTTGTCGAACGATTCACATGATGAATAATTTACTCATCTCTACCTTTTCTTTTTTTTTTTTTCTTTACAGTATTATGAAATGTCATATGGATTAAATGTAGAAATGCACAAACAGGTGAGTACAAAATTATATATAAGGTGCGCGAAGTTCGTTTAGACGCACCCTATTTATTGGATTTTTTTCAGCAATTGATGCTTTTAATGGAATGGATTCTTAATGAAATTATGTAAAATACCAATTAATCCATAAATCTAATCATTTAAAGTAGCTAATTACTTTATAGTAGCAAAAAAAATTAATTTTTCTAAAAATTACAACAACAATGTATGCAGTTCGTTTAGACGCACTTTACAAAAAAAATAAAAATACACTAATTAATGTATATTTAACGTATTTTATTAATTCAAAACTACTTCCTAATGTTGTGTTTACAAATGTAAACAATCAAAATATTTGTTTATAAGTGTTTCGAGGATGCCGAAAGAAAAATATTTAAGTGATTCTGAGAAGGCTGTCATTGACCAATTGCTCACTCTTGGCCTATCTTATCGCGATATTGGAAGGAGAATCAACAGAAGCGATCATGTGGTTCGTAACTACGTCAATCTAGGATCCGAATATGGCAAGAAAAAAAAAACAAAAGGTAATATTAAAATCACTAATCGTCAAAAGAATCAACTAGTACAGCTAGCGTCATCAGGAAAGTACTCAACACATGAAATGGTCAAAGAATTGGATCTGCCGATCGGTAAAAGACAAGTCGCAAGCATTTTGAAGAGAACTGGCCAGTTTAAGTATACAAAAAAAATGAAACAACCGTTTCTAAAGCCAGAACATGAAGTTGCAAGAATGGAATGGGCTAAAAATCATATTCATTGGTCCACCGAGTGGACACAAGTTGTCTTTTCTGATGAAAAGAAGTTCAACTTAGACGGCCCTGATGGCTTTAATTATTATTGGCACGATCTAAGGAAGGAAAAGCAATTCAATTATAGCAGAAATTTCGGCGGTGGCTCGCTGATGGTTTGGGCAGCGTTTTCAATGCACGGCAAGACTCCTCTGGTCAAAATTACAACTAGAATGAATTCACAGAAGTACATTGAAATGCTTGATGATGTGTTGATACCTTATACGGATGATTATATGTCTGGAGATTTCATTTATCAGCAAGACAATGCCGCTATTCATGTTAGTAAGCTAGCAAAAGCTTGGTTTTCTGTCAAAGACATTGAGCTTCTCGATTGGCCAGCACGCTCACCGGACCTCAATCCCATCGAAAATTTATGGGGAATACTGGCACGAAGAGTATACCACAATGGACGCAAGTTTTCAACAATTCAAGAGCTAGAAGTTGCCGTTCGACATTATTGGCGAGAAATTAGTCAAGAATTGCTTGATAATTTAGTTAATTCCATGCCAAATCGTGTATTTAAGTTGGTTACTAAAAATGGTAAACAAATATAATAAATAAAATATACATTAATTAGCGTAATTATTTTTTTTGTAAAGTGCGTCTAAACGAACTGCATACATTGTTGTTGTAATTTTTAGAAAAATTAATTTTTTTTGCTACTATAAAGTAATTAGCTACTTTAAATGATTAGATTTATGGATTAATTGGTATTTTACATAATTTCATTAAGAATCCATTCCATTAAAAGCATCAATTGCTGAAAAAAATCCAATAAATAGGGTGCGTCTAAACGAACTTCGCGCACCTTATATACACATGTGTAACTGTACATAAGTGGAAATGTTCAATTATTTAATCTGTGCGCTGAATGAAAATTAAAGGGCTTAAATAAAGGAAGAGAGAAAATCATTTGAGAAGTGCAAAAAAACAGGAAATGAAAAGCCTGGGTTGAGCAAGCTAACATTACGTGATGTTCTCATCCATGTGGGAATTAAATTAAACTTCCATTCGACCATCACAGTTCGTTGTAATGTTTGTCGACAGTAAAAATGCAAACATTGTTCTCTAAAAACTCGGTGAATATCCTTAACTGTATATATTTGTTTTTCACTATCTATCCTTTTCTCGTTTCGCTTAATTCTTGATATTTTCACAAATTTTTGTTTTTCATTTCACAAAATAAAATTGAAAAAATGATAGTTTGAAATTTTCGACTCCATGATCACATTCATTTTTTTTGTTATACGATGAATTGTTAGTGTGATATCCTTCTATAAGTCAATATATATATATAGACACACATTTTTTATCATAGTTTTTCGTCATGGTTTTCAGAGAGTTTCAAAAAATAAAAATTATCAGTACGAAATATATCCTTCAATATACATGTAAAGTTGAATAAATATAAATTTGTATTGAATTCGTCATATTAGTTTCATCACATGTTATTTAGAATACGACTCTAGTCTGTTTTCGACAAGGGGCCGTTCACTTATTACGTTACGCAAAAAACGACTTTTTTCACTCCCCTCCCCCCCTTGTTACAATATGTTGCAACTCACAACCCCCCCTGAACGTTCATAATTTATTTTATTTTGATAATTTTTCATAAATCATTTCTTGACACCCCCTCCCCCCCTGTGTTACATTTTGTTACAATTTTTCAAACCCCCCCTCCCCCCTAAAATGCGAACGAAATAAGTGAACGGCCCCCAAGCTGCGAAATCACTATTCAGACATCACTTGGATTTATTTTATCAGCTTCGTTATTATCGATTTAACGACTTATTTGGAAGTTAAAGGTCTTGAAACAGTGCATTAATATTATAATTAATGATTTTTCAAAATTCAAATGTAAAAACATGTGATGAGTGCGTTTAGAAATTCAATTTTTTTACGTTTGAAAAATTTTAATTTAAAAAAATCGTTAACTGTCAAAATACAAAACTTTGATTCAGTTTAAATCCTTCTAAAAGTGCATATGCAAAATTTATATTTTGCTGGTTGATTTACTTGTAAAAAAGAAAATCTTCAATTAATAAAGTTAACCGCGTTTTCATAAAAAATTTGTAGTACATAATCATAGACGATTTCAAATTAAAGACAAGAAAAATATTCTCATTTTTTTTCATTTCATTTTTATAATATCAGTTAGAAACAGTGGGACGAGAAGTAAGCACTATTGAAAATAGGAAACTTTTTTTATTTTTTGAATGCTAATACCAATTCACTTTACTGTGTTCTCTTTACGTATGCAAAATGAACGCTTTTTTGTAGCAGCCTGTGTGATGGCAATTTTTATGCAAATTTTGAGCTTACGTTTATACTTTTTTTTTATTTCATACACATATATATTGCCTTGCCTGAATGGATTTTTTTTTAAAGCGTACACGAGAGAAAATTTTTCCTTCCTCTTCTTTTTTTCATATGAATTTCTGAATGTGAATTTATTATAACTTCAACAGTCACCGGAAAAAAAAAATTATCAGGACTTGCAACACATCCAAAAAAAATATTTTTTCTTTCACATCGTCGGTGAAATTTTGTACGGATGCAAAAAGAAAACTTTAAATTGTTTTTTTGTATTTGTATGAAATATGACAAAATCCCCAAAGGGATGTATTTTACGCTCAAATATACAGGTGGATGAACCATCAATGTTTCTTTGTCATTTGTAGTCAGAAAAGTTCCTTTTTATTCATTCACTCTTCTTGTGCATTAAAGGCACAACAAAATATGATGATGAAATAAATAAGATTGCGATGCCTTTTTATTCCTCATACTCATTCTCTCTGTGCCAATGTCATATTTTTTATGACAAAAAAATTTACCGACGTTTTTATTCATGCCAATGCAATGCTTGCTTTTATGTTGTTGCTATACATATATTATAGGTAAGAGCAATAACAATAACATCACGATACGACAGATTAATATTTGATGATTTTTTAACTTGACTCTTTTTATATTATGATTCGCATTCGAAGCACTTTTAATGTATAGCTGAATGCGACATTCCATTTTTTTGTGTACATACATATGTGCTGATATATTTTTGATGTGAAAATATTTTGCAAATAAAAGGAAAATGAATGAAAATGTATGGAACAAAAGAGTGAAAAAAAAAACTTTTCATCTTTCTCTAACGTGGCACAAACAACACATTTTTTGTGTGCTGTTCTGGGGATAAAAAAAAGGAGAATACACAAAGGAATAAAAAAAATAACTTTGTCGTCATAAATATGCATTTTTCATGTGCATATTCCATTTTTCTTTCGTGTGCTTGACTTTAACGAGATTTAAACAGTGTGGAAAATTAACATTTGCATATTGTGTGAATGAATAGGCATGAAGAACCTAAGAGGAGTTCAGAAGATGATTTTGTTATTTTTGAACTAGAACAAAATTGAAATGAGGTTTTTAAATATATCCTTAAAATCCCTAGAATTTCTTAATTTTTTTGTGAAATTATTTGAACTTTTAAGCTTTATTTGGCTAAATTTAGACTCTTTCATGTGGTTTTACAAAGGAAACTCTATGGACTTGGAATGAGCCTTAATTTGGACTGGTGTTTATCGCTAGTTATCTTTGATATTTAATATGTTTTCCTAAAATGAGTTAGAGCCAGTTCAAACCAATTTAAAATTTTCAACACCTCAAAAATTAAATTATTGAATAAAATAAAATTCCTGGAAAATTTTAATTTTTTAACATTTGCCCTTCTTTTGTGAGCAATCTATATGCTTAAAAGATGAATGAGATTATTCTTTTGGTTTTTGTTTTGCTTTTTTTTGTGTTTTAAATTAAGCACTCACACACTTTTGGATACTCGCGTATGTTCGCACAGAAAAGGAGAAGAAAAGTAAGAAGAGGAGGAAAGAAAATTTTCACATCCATAAATCAAATTCCTATTTTTGCGGTATCATAGCACCATCGAAGCATGTAAATTTGATTTTCCACAACCACCCACACTTTGTTCGCCTGCCTTATACTTATGTTTATAGAGATTTGCTACTGTTGATGTTGATGTTGCCGCTTCCCATACCAAACTTTTTCTTCCTTTCACTCACTTTATAGCTGTAGCTCTCGAGCTCTTTTAATATTTATAATCTCATCCATTTCCATCGGAGGAAAAATTTATGTTGTTTTATATCTTTTTACTTTTTTTCTCTTCATTCTTCTGTTTTCTTCCGACGATACG